CCTGAATAAACGGGGAGTGCTGCCATTTTGTGATTCACTTTGATTCGTGTCACACTATGCGTTAGAGATTAAAAATTGCTAAATAAAAATTAAAATTTAGTCAATCAAAACAAAACAGCTTAAAATTAAAATTATCTGATTAAAATTATCGAATTCCGGAGAAAAATGTTATAATTGTATATAAAATATGTCAATTTTTTATATAATTATATAATTTTATATAATTTTATATAATTATATATGAAATATTTTTTCTCGGGATTCTAATCTGTAATTTGGAATCCTTATCCTTAAAACGAAGTGTGACACGGCTTTTTGGGTATTTTTTTATTTGGTGACATAAATCGATACAAGTATCGTTTTATCTTTGATATGTTTCGTTTTACATAATATGATGCGCATGATGTATTTATTTATCCTTATTATTCACCGAATATTGAAGGATAAAATGATACATTGTGCGCATTATGAGTGAAAATTATGGAACGCATCCATAATTAAGGAAAAGTCTCAGTAAAATATATCTACATTTAAATACACACAAAATTTATTATTATTAATTTCTGAAATGCTATTTTTATTACAACATTGAAATGCTATTTTTATTACAACATTGTTTAATTATATTCGAAGATTAAATCATAATATTATATTTAAGAAAGCATTTAAAATTTCTAATAATAAATTATGTGAAAAAAATACATTCTGGTAGTGTTGAAAAGAATATTAGAATCGTAAAAATAATAGAATTTATAATAAATTATAATTCATTAAATTGTGCACATTTTAGTACAAAGTTCCTTAAATTCGATTTGATTTCGAGATCTCTGCAATACCAACTATCGTTAAGACTCGATTTTTCATTATTAGCATTATTTAGTTAACAACTTATGGTATTTAGATTGAATTTTACTTTGCTTGATAATGTAAAAATTTTGTTTTTCTCTATGATTAGATTATTATTCAATATAAATCAATAGTTTTGTTTTTGGCATAAGTTTTATAATAAGTTTTATAAATAAAAACTTATTATAACATTTTATATAACATATTATAAAACATTTATAATAAAACTGGAATACATTTAAAAAATATTTATTGAAAAATGCTTTCGTATACAATTTCTATAATAATTCTATAACATTATTATTAGATACACATTTATTTTATATAAAAGTTTCTTATATATGATATATTGTACATAAATAGATATTACAATTATGCATATATCTACATGTATAAATAGTAATCAATCTTGTAATCTTTCTCTCTTACAATATTTCTATTATATTATATGATTTAATATAATATTTAGCGATTTTTCGAGAATATCAATTATATGATAAAGGATTTCTTTATATCAATAAATAATAAATACAATATAGGGCAAGTAAGAGTCTAACATATAAATTTATATATAACAACCAAGAAATTACAAATTTGTTGTATATAAATTTATATAACAACAAGAAATTAGACTCTTACTTGCCCTATATTGTATTTATTACCAATTACATGATATTAATTTAGTTTAATTAGCAAATGTAAGTGAAATTTTTAGAAATTATCTATTACAATTAAAATATTATTTGCAATTCGTCAGCAAATGAACCAATTGTTCATATACTTTACGGATGTATAAACGATTCGTCACTGTCAATTAATTATTTCGCAATATTGCCTAAAATCAGTCAATTTTCGTTATGAAATCAGTATTACTTCGCAGTGTAATACTTCGCTTTCACAAAGGGCATTCGCGTGACGGTACCCTTGTACGTTTTTCCTCGTACTTCGACCAATATTCCGCCACCACATTGCGCTAAATCCGGTGGCATGTATCCCATAGCGATCGGCCGGCCCAAGGTCGGACTTGGTCCACCGGAAGTGACGCTGCCCACTCGCTCACCTTCCGGCGTTAATATGGGCGCGCCTTCCCTAGCAGGTGGTCCTTGACCCAGTAAAAGCCCAACACGTTTCTTCGTCGTACCCGTCTTGATCTGCGAAAGTATTCGCTGCGCGCCTGGAAAGTTCGCCTCTACCCTTCGTCGTTTCGCTATGAGAAAGAGAGAAGATCGATATTTTGTAAAACTGCGGTAATTCGCGTTTCGCGTGATAAAGTTAGAGAAGATTAAATAGGAGCAATGGAACTTCGTCGCTATTTAAAAGTGTTTAGAAGCGTTTAAAAGAGTAATTATGTTCAGATTCATGATCTTTACGAGACCGTAGTATTACCGACTAGCCATGTAAGGGCAGCTTCAATTGGTGTGGTGTCCTCGTTGATATCGTGACCGTACAGACAAAGTCCAGCCTCTAATCTGCAAAAATAAGAAAAAAATTAGAAAGAAAATATTAACAATTATAATTTATTATTACTTTTTATTATATTTTATTAATACATGAATAACATGAAACAATAGTTTCATTTTATCACAGTTATATTTTGATATTACTCGTTATTTAAATCTTCTTAAATCATTTACACATATTGACATTATTGATTGCACGCTCAAAGAGCTATTGTTTTAAGACATGAGATCCGTTTTCTGCTGATTTACCTTAGGCTATCTCTGGCGCCTAAACCGGCCAGCTTCACGTCAGGAATCTCTAAAATCCTTTCGACTAGATTAATCGCGTCATTCGCAGGTACCGAGATTTCAAATCCGTCCTCTCCGGTGTATCCACATCGCGAGATTCTAATGCGACTGCCTGACACTTCAGTTTTGACACTATTCATAAATTTTAGGTTTCGAAGATCGATCTTTACCAATGATTGGAGGACCGTTTCCGCTGTAGGACCTTGAAGAGCTATGAGCCCTTGCTCCAGGGGATCCAAAAAGTCGATATACACGTCTTTACCAACCTTTTTGAAATCATCCTGAAAGCAGAGGTGCTGATTTTCATTGTATATTGACTGCCAAAATGGAGAGCAAGCGTGGAAAAATTTTTACCTGACGTTCCAAAAGAAGTCGACTATCTTCGTCCCGTCTTCCTGCGTTAGATACCACAAAGTATTTGTCTTCATCGTCTTTGGTGATAATGAGATCGTCTAAAATCCCACCTTTATCGTTGGTAAAGACTGCCAAAGTCCCGACACCTCTACTTAAATTCTTAAGGTCACACGTGGTTAGTGATTCCAAATATTCTCCGGCGTCTTTACCAGAAACGCACGTCTGCAGCATGTGACCAACGTCGAAGAGCGACGCTAACGATCTGGTGTGCAGATGAGACACTGCGATCGCCTCTCGATACTGTACCGGTAGTAGCCATCCGGCAAAATTGACGATTTTGCCTAAACATTGAAAATAATTTATTTATAAATAAATTTATTTATAAATAATATATTTATAAATTCGCATGAACATGAGATGAGTGACTTTCTCAATTGTTGTATATTTTCTGCGTTACATGATTTCTTAAAAATTACAGTACTAAATATCATAAAAATTAAGAAACACACACATTTCGGAAAACTGAAAAGTTATATTGTGATATTTATTTATTCGCAAGCATTTCTGCGACATAATTAGGCATTAGATTGAAAGATATTACATTTAATTTAATATTGATCCTGAACTGAATCAGAGAGATTTGCAACTTGCCTTGCTTTTGCACATGAAGATCGTAAAGACAGGTCTTGCGAGCTTCCTTGATAACCGACGTCGATGACAGCCGACGATTTTCCCGGCGTGTCGTTTCGGCAGCTGCATGAGGTATCGTGGAATCGATCAAACAATTCGAACGTGACGTCGAACCACCATTAACAATAAGGCTCTCCTTGACCCTCGATAACGTAGCGACGCCGCAGGTGTCACGTACGCCTCCCAAAACGTTTAGACATTTCTCGAGATTGTCACAGACGATGAATTTGTCGCGGACGACGAAACGAAGCATGATGCTCCTTTCTTAATGCTTTATCATTCACTAACTTGAATAACACCACGTAACTCAATGGTAAGCTGCTCTGTTGAGGCTGTGATAACCCCGCGTGATATTTACTATCAGACTCGGATGTAGCTTCGAAACTTAAACGTTCAAACGTTTAAACAAGAAGATAATCTTATCACCATTCAATACATCATGTCTTTCGGAAAAATTTAATTACTCAAGTTGTTTATAGCAGTGTCGTTAATTTGTTAGAAAAAGTTTTAAAATCGATGATGTTAGATGCTATTCTCTATTACTTATATGAAAAGGCTTGTGATATAAATTAATCTTTTTTTTTTATTTTGTAAAATTTCAGACGTTATAAAATAATAAAATGAGAAAGCAATGAGAGAAGTTTATTTTGTAATGTGTTTTCTGGGAAAACATTATGTAAAATTGATGAAGTAAGCCGTGTCTGTTTAACTACTCGATATCGTTACACGTTATAAATTACCACATTTCTGTTTACTCCTCTTATTATCAGCTGGCAGTTAATTCTATACGTAAAACGGGTCATAGTACAAACTACAATCACATAACAAATAAAACTATTAATGATTAATTATGGGATAATTATGGGAAATTATTGTAGGTAGTCACGAGACTTGGAATGCTTATTAAATTTTTATTGTACCACGTAATAATAATAATAATATTAATAATAATAATAATCATGATCATCATCGCAATAATAAATTGTGATAATAATGACAATAAGAAATGGTAGTAATAATAGTAATAATCATTTATCATCGTAATAATAATAGTTCCGTAATAATAATAATAATAATAATAATAATAATAATGATACTTCATCATCGTCGGTAATAATCCAATGACAAATGTCAATATTTATATAGCGTGTCGAACGGAGAAACGATCTTAAAAAACGAAGATAGTATCAATGTTCGTTCGTACATTTTGTTTTTTTAGCTTCCGCCGTTTTTTATCTTCTCGCTCGCTCTCTTTAGGATCTCTTCTACCTCTCGCTCTCGCATCTTCCACACGCGCATTCTCACTCGACTTCGCTTCCTCTTTTATTTAATCTTTTTTTTTTTTTTCGCTTTTAATCTCCCCTTTTCTCTCACACACACGCACACTTTCTCCCTCTGTCACGTGTCTTACACAATTGATGCAAAATGTCCCTACACAGTCCGACGAATGTGTGTGTGTGTACGTTTTCCCGGTTATTCTCTTTAAATCAATCCTCACGATCGCATTTTGCTCGACGCTTTCCTCATTTTTTTTCCACCATTCCTCCTCGAAATTCGCTAGATTTCTTTTTTTTTTTTCTTTTTAAATCCTTACACGTGTTGACACATTCACTCACACTGGTAAATCGGTTTGGTAGTGGAGGGACCGGGGGGGGG